TCCCTAGTACCACGATCCCTTCTAAACCCAGCCTGGACTTCTGGCAGTTCTCTGCTGATGTGCTGTTCCAGTCGTTTTTGGATAATCTTCAGCAGAATCTTGCTTGCATGTGAAATCAATTATATTGTTCTATAGTTTCCACACTCTTTTTGGTCACCTTTCTTTGGGATGGGAACAAATATAGATCTCTTCCAATCATTTGGCCAAGTGGTTGTTCTCCAGATTTCTTGACACACTTGGTGAGCATATCCAGGGCAGCATCTGTTAGCTGAAATATATCAACTGGTATACCATCTATTCCTGTGGCCTTGTTTTTTGCTATTTCCTTCAAAGCAGCTGAACAGTTGGAAAATCAAGTGTTGAACTCCCTCAGCATTTCTTAAGCTGAAGTAACTGAAGAACAAATTCAAGCCTGGAGTTGCAATATTTAAGGATGCTATGGGCAGAATACTTAATGATTCAAGAAGCATAAAAAGAAGATGGAAGGAGTACAGAGTCATTGTACCAAAAATAACTGGCTGACACAGAAGTATATAATGAAACAACTTATATTCAAGAGGTAATGGTGATTAAGGAGGAAGTTCAACCTGATCTGAAGAAACTGGCAAAAAACAAGGCCCTAAGAATTGATGGAATACCAATTGACATACTGCAAAGAAACAGATGGAGCCCTGCAAGTGCTCACCAGGCGGTACCAAGAAATCTGGAGGACAACCACCTGGCCAAATGATGGCAAGAGATCCATATGTATTCCCATTCCAAAGAAAGGTAATCCAACAGTGTGGAAATTATCAAACACTAACAGTAATATCTTATGCAAGCAAAATCCTGCTGAAGATATCCCAAAAGTTACTAGAACAGTACATCAATAGAGAACTACCAAAATACAAGCTTGGTTTAGAAGAGGCCATGGCAGTAGGGACATTATCACCAGTGTCAGATACATTTTGGTTGAAAGCAGAGAGTACTAGAGGAATGTCTATCTGTAATTCATTGACTATGCAAAGGCATTTGACTATGTGGATCACAACAAATTGTGGCTGACCTGGAGAAGAATGGGAGTCCCAGAATACCTGATTGTGCTCATGCAAAGCCTGTAATTGAAAATACTTCATGGTTCAAAATCAGAAAAAGATTGTGTCAGCAATGTGTCCTATCTCCTTTTCAATCTGTATGCAGAACAGATTAAAGGCTAGACTTTACAGGGAGGAATGTGGTATCAAGACTGGAGGAAGACTCATCAACAACCTGCACTATGCAAATTTGCTTGCTGAAACTGAGGAGCACCTAAACATTTGCTGAAGGTCAAGGACTGTAGCTTACAATATGGATTGAAACTCAACATCAAGAAAACAAAGATTCTCACCAATGGGCCAATTGGCAGCACCATGATGGATGGAGAAGATATTGAGATTGTGAACAATTTCACCTTGCTTGGATCCACAATCAACATTCTTGGCTCAAAAAAAAACCAAAACATTCTTGGCTCCAGCAGTCCTCACGTACTTTGGGGATATAGCCAGGTGGGATATCGTGTTTGGAAGGTCAAAGGACAGAGAAGTAGAGAAAGACCCTGGATTAGATGGATTTATACAAGAACTGAGGTAACAAGAGTGTGTCAGAGTCAGTGAGATAGGCTCAGGATAGAGCAGGGTTCAGAGCTACTGTGCATAGGGGTCACTGTGAGTTGCAGATGACAGCACATAACTACCACCACCACCACTGAGTAGGAACTGACCCATAGCTGACCCTCCAGCAGGTTTTCAGAGGCAATGATTCACATGGGGAAAGACTGCCCATTGTTCTCCTACATAACAGCTGATGAATTTAAACCATGTACCTTCAGGTTGGCAGTGCCAACTCTTTATCAGTAAGCCACCAGAACCCTCTACAAAGATATGACATGATAGCAACTGGGGACCGTGAGGAAAGAGAGATACGAAAGGCAGATGCTGGACACTAAGGAGCAGTTTTAAGTCTCACAAAGACGAGAAAAGCTATGATTAGAATGCACTTTGGACTCTAATAGTTTCAGTATTTTTAGTTAAAAAAAAATTGCTGTTTCAGTAAAAGTTAAAACCTTAGACAAATAAGGTGGGAAATCAAAGCAGAGACTAGAAGCCTGGGAATCCCAAAGGGCAAAGGCACAGGGCAGTAATGGGTAAAACTTCAGGGTCACACCCTCCTTACCCCCGCTAGCACTCACCATCAGTAGCTGTTTATTGGCTAGTGCCAACTCCTGCCCTATTGTGTCCTGTATCCTTAGAAGGGCATATGGGTATCTCCTCTGACTCAGGGTCATATCCCACAGACAGTGAGCATGTGAATCTTGCCACCTGTCCAGGAAGAGGGGGAGTGACTGGGTTAGAATTATAAGAAGCAAAACCTATCAGTGATGATTCTTTACTCAGAATCTCTGTGCTGTAATTAAGACTGCAAACTCTTTTTGAACAGGTAACTGGAAACACTACCTGGTCCATTCTGACTCATGGGAACCTGTTTGTGCAGAGAACTCCTCCAAAGGTTTACAAGGCTGACGCAGCACGTAGATGGTGTATTATCAGGGCAGAGAACACATCACAAGGGTAGAACTGCCTGAAGTGCTTTCTACTCTGTAGGAGCAGACTGCCAAATTGTTTCACTTGTTGGAGCCACTGTTGAGTTTGAACCACAAACCTTTTGATGAGTTGCCAAGTCCCTCCTGTGCCAAGGCTCCTTACTTAGACCTAGGCTCCTACTAAATCATACATCTTCTTTCCCCCTAACATCCTTGCTAGCTCTCAGTGTGATAGCCTGCATTCGATTCCATCCCAGGTAATTTAAATTAGAATCCCCAAGGATAAAACCAGAACATCAGTGGTTTTGCAAAACTCTCCAGGTTTAAGATAAGCTGTCAAGTCATCTCACCCAGTAGTTATTACCCAAGTACTATATGGTTAGAAGTGTGCCAGGCAACAAATACTTGAACTCTCAAAAACACAAAAACAAAACCCTAAACCCAGAAACCACCACTACAGAAAATCTCAAAATCAACAAAAAGTTTGCTCCTATTTTCCTTTGGAGAAGGAAAGCAGGAAGCTATGAAGACCATATAGTCTGTGTAGTTTAACCTAGTAGGTTGCTTAACCTAGTGGCTTGCTATAAGAAATAGTGGCCGCTGCTTTGAATGTTTTAATTTTTGTAATGTTTAGAGGACAGGGAAGTGAAAAAGTCAACTCTGGAAGGCAAAATGGAGAGAAAAACAGAAGTTACCTGGCAATCTTCTTAAGTTCTACAGCTCTTTGAAAATTCTGCAAAATAAAAGGAGTTATGTTGATCTGCTTAATTTTCCAAACCTTGGCCTCTGTACTTTGTAGCCAAAAGAACATAGCCTTTGTTAGAGGGAATGGTCCATTTCTTTGGGGAGGTAAGGAAAGCAAATCACTATTCCATTTAGAATAAATCAAATTAAAATGCTGATGTTGGGATGGAACAAATACTTCACTAGCAGTTTTGGATGTGCCAAACTATAACAATCCTCCTGCTACATTCTGGTAAATTTTTATTATAACCTCTTCAAGGGAAATATCTTCACCCCAGTCCCTCTTCTCAATTCTGCATACTTCTACTCTTTTTTTAATTATTTTTATACCTCTTCTACTCTTGTGTTTTCCAAAGACATGTCTACAGACTTGTGTGATATGGTACTAGGAGACTGTGCATTCCTTCTTCTTAGTTAAGTCACTGAGGTTCGGTCGTCACAGCAACATTCTCGTCTCTAACACTGACCCTGGGCATGAGATGATTGGCCACCTGGCCTGTTGCCTTGGTGACCTAAAAGGAATACTAGTTCTGCAGCCTTCTATTAACGACACAGGCAACTGAGTTAAGGGCCAGAGTCCCAATTTCAGGACTTATTCTGTTGGGAGTCTCAAAGCTATCTGAATGGTTCTAGGTCCAAGGTCCCACAGTCCCATTGATTGTCAAGGTAAATGTTCATGTCCTACTTAGGCCAGTACATAAGCCTATTTTTATAAAAACTAAATGAATGAATCAGTTTTATTTTTTAATAACTCATTTTATTAAATAACCAATTTATAAAGTCAGACTAATGCATTGGCTTGATAGAAGAAACCATTTCTTCTCATTGTCCACAATATTTCCAACGGTGGTGGTGGTAGAAATGGGATTATACCAGGTGTCAGAAGTTGTCCTCCACTCCCCACTTTTCCAAGTCATAACAGTATGGAAAGGCAGATCTTTATATTTCAAGAAAGCTGTGCTATTCTTTCAGCCTATCTTTGTTTAAGTGGAAGTTGTTTTATATACTACCCACTGCCTCACCCAATCTCCCCAACCAATTCTTGTCTGCCTTTCCTAGCAATTAACTTGAGACACCCTTAATCTGAACAGTTCCTACTTAACCTTGTTCTTAACTTTTAGGATTAAACATCCTGGAACAGGTAATGTGAATTATAATCAAAATAAGGTAAAGATTTTTAAGGAAGTCTTGACAGAAACCTAAGAACAACTGAATTGTACTCCAGAAAAAGTTTTAACTGTGGTTCTGAAACATTCCATAAGAAAGGGCCTCCAGGCATGAGCTCTGCACACAGTATGAGTTTTGGCCAATAGTTTGGGCCTGTGAGCCAGATAATCTGAAGCTTGCCCAGCATGGACACTGTAGGTCTGGCACACTCCATAGCAAGAGTTCTTTAATTCCATCACAGAGTACTCTCCAATGTATTATTGTTGTCCTTAAAGTTCTTCAGTTCTAGGAAGTTCTTGGCCCGTTTACTCTTCTGATTGGAGGGGAGGTATGTAACCTGGATGGTTGTTGGAGAGACTTCAGGAGACTGGGTAAGGTCTTTGGCTGCTGACTGGTGATGTCGCTGAGAGCTCCCACTTCGTGCTTTGACCCTGACGAATACAGAGGGCAGGTCACTGAGAAGAAAAGTATAAAGGCTACCAACAATTAAGGACTCATCGCATCCCATAAATACCTCAATAGCCACAAATAGTTTGTGTCCTAAACTACAAACTCAAAGTAAACTCATTGTCATCAAGTCAATTCTGGCTCATAGTAACCCCCACTGGTTTCCGAAGCTGTAAATGTTCCATAACAGAGGACACTGCCCATCTTTCTCTCATGGTGGAGCTGAACTGATTTTTGATTAGCAGTGCTTCACACTACAGACTGTGCCATCAGTTCCTTATTTTCCCCAAATTGTTACCCAAATCCCATACAGTATCTTAGAAACTGCAAAGAAACTTAGAGTTTCTACCTCTCATACAACCTTTTGTTTTGTTATGCTTTGAACATGGAACTCTGCCAATTGATCTAAACTAAGTAGCTAATATGTTCAAAGAGTCCTTCAAAATCTCAAAGAACAAAAAGAAAAAGGATATTAGGCACATACAAATTAAAACATTATATCTGATGTTTTACTAATATCTAATTCCAAATATCCTATATGAGGTGGTCTCATTCCTGTCTTTTATAGTTTAATAAGTAACTTTCCTGAGATCATGAAGCTACTAAATGACAGAGACCTGGGATTCAAACCTAAATTTGTCAGATTTCAAAGTGTTTACTCCTTTTATTGTACTCACTGGACCTAAAAGTCACGAAGACTGAATTTTGAACTTTTGAACAAGCCGGTTGGCCTGACTCCAAGACTGTTTACAACCTTTTTTCCATGTTCATTATTTTTTTACTTTTTTTTTTGTCTTATAGATTTATTGTCAAGGACGAAAACTTATAATTTAAATACAAGTCTAACAGAATTACTCCATCAAAGTGGGCAATGCTACTAACAGGTCTTCTCACTTCGAGATGCTTGCCAGAGTTGTTGGAATCTTCTCTCAGAGAAGAAAGGTGGTCTTATGTTCTATTCACATATATTCTTATCTGCAACGTAATCTACAATTTCTTGTGGACACATTAGTTTTTCTGGAATTATTATTATCAGGAATTTCAAAGTCAAATTCATCCTCTGTGGCCATGATAATCTCCAGCTGGCCCAAACAGTTTAAGCCCAGGTCTTTCATAAAACGTAAATTTACTGAAAAGTGTTTCTGGGTCAATCTTATCATAGAGCTGCAAGACATAAACAACCCAATCCTGGCTGCCCTCTAACGTCAACAGGGATGCATCACTATGCAGACAGCACAACTGTGTGACTCTCCTAGGAACCTGTGCAAATATAAGGAGTGGCTGCGGAATGCGACGTCTCGTCTGGATTCCCGCAGAACCCAAGGCAGTGCTCAGTGGCTGAGGCGCGTGGTTAACGTGATGGCCTGGGACAGCGGTGAAAGGGCCATCCACAGGCAGCGGACACAGGCAGAAACGATACGAGCCGTTATAGCTGTGCCAGTCCAGGAGCTCCATGTTCACTTTCATCCACTGTTCTGTGTAGGTTATTACCAGAGATTAAGTTTTTACTGGGGCTTACTGACTAGAGAAACAAGGTAGCTCATTTTCAGTGAGAAAGCTATTTCAACACTGCACAAATGTTCCATGGATTCCGACTAACTTTCTATTCTAGAATGGCTTCCCTTCTACACCAACCACTTTAACATTTGCACACTTAACATAACAAAACTATGTTGACCCAAAAACCCAAATCCTTTCCCTTTTTAACCAAGTGAAACTAGTTTTGTGTTCCAAGGAAAGAATTTGGTTGAATAGATTCCAAGTCATGGCAACCTCATCTGTTAGCACAGAACTATTCCACAGGGCTATTAAATGGATTCTTAAGAAAAATCATGAGTCTTCTGTAACATAAATACCTAGCAGCTGACTCTATAGTGCTTTGGAAAGGGTTACTAGTGCACCATGTGTAATAAAGATGTGTGGGACTTCACTCTTACATTGGAATAAGGCACTTTAAAAAGAGAGGAACTTAAGGAGCTGGAAAGCTTCATTACTTCTGCTAGACCATACCAATTCTCAAATTTTACTCAACTGAACAATACAATGGAAAAGAGAATAAAACCTAGCTTATATCATAGTTTGTACTTTCAATGTCAGTCAGCACAGTTTTAATAGTCTAAAGATCTGACAATTCTCATAGGGGTTATTTCACTGTGTCAACAGTTGGGCACAACTGTATCTTCTAACAACATGGAGCCAACCTGCCAGTTCCCTTTGACATGTTCCCCTCCAAACTCACGCGGTGGCCAGCTCAGTCAGGGCCTCCTGATAGCGTAGGTACTCACTCTGGCCAAAGACCTGAAGAAAGCAAAAAGCATGAAATCTTTCAGTCTGGGCCATTCCCATAGTTTCTTTCAGGAGTAATTAATTGGCTATCCAGCTTACCCCTGTCCCATAGCGGGCTGTTTCATAACCATCCAGAAGGGTATCAATGAGGGCCTTACGCACACCCTTGAAAGGAGTACTGGTGTTTCGTAGATCTAGCAAGTAGGAGCGAAAATTCTTGCCCATTAGGGAATGGGGATGCCGGCCTTCAGTATGAAATGGGATTTCTGGGAAGATAATAGCACAATGATAATCTTTATTCTTTTTATTCATTGATCTTATCCTTAAGTCTTTTTGTTAATTTCTCAAACTTAAAGCTATGTATAATATAACACAATTGTAAGCTATACCAATGGCACAGAATAATGACATAACTTTTTTAACACTCCACTTACCCATCATGACTTTTAAGACATTTTTTTTAAGACACATTTTTATAGAAGAGAACATACATGACAAATGCTCATAAGAAAATTTCAAGAACTAGCTATCTTGGTAGTGAAAAAGTAGATTTTGCCTATTTTAATTGTAGTGAGGAGGACAAACAGGTTCATCCTAGAGAGGGTGAGACCAGGATGCTCCTTGGAGGCAGGGATTCTGAAACTTAGTCTGATATACTTTGGGCATGTTGCAAGGAGGGACCAGTCCTTGGAGAGGGACATCATGCTTGGAAGGACAGAGGGACAGAACAAGAGAGGAAGACCCTCGATGAGATGGAGTGATTCAGTGATGGGGTAATGAGGATAGATGGGTCAGAGACAATAAGATTAGCACAGGATAGGGCAGGGTTCAGGGCTGTTATACATAGGATCACGATGTGTTGCAAGCAACTTGATAGCACATAATAACAATAACAAAGCATATCGGTAAGAAATGACTTGCCATTTCAACATTCTCCATATGTATAATTCAGCAGCATTAATTTTATTATGTTAAAATCACTTGTCTTTACAAACTGTTAATATACAGCTTGCGAAACAAAAAATTTCAAGAAAAGAGAACTTTTAAAAAGCTACCCTAGCATCAGGATGGATGGCGATTGAGATTGAGATTGTTCACAGCTTCAGTTTGCTTGGCTCCACGGTCAACACTCTTGGCACCAGCAGCCAGGAAATAAAAAAAACATATTGCGATGGGAAAGTCTGCTGTTAGGGACCTCTCTAAAGTACTCAAGAGCAACGGTGTCTCTCTGGAGACTAAGGTGCACCTGATACAGGCCATGGTCTTTGCAATCACTTGTTATGCATCAGAGAGTTGGACAATGACTAGGGAGGACAGGAGAATTGATGCCTTTGAGCTGTGGTGCTGGAGAAGAGTATTGAATATACCATGGACTGCCAAGAAAACAAACAGATTCATCCTGGAGAGGGTTAAACCAAGCTACTCCTTGGAGGCAAGGATTCTGGGGCTTCATCTGACAT